GAGGTTCCAGAGGAGATAGAAAATTTAGTTAAGGAAATTATAACTGAGTCTCACTAAAGGAAACAGATACCCTGATGGAAATGATACCCCAACAAAACATAAAAGGAAGTTATCAAAACATGAAGCTATAACAACACAAAAAAGGTGATTAAAATATGTATTTCAATTATTATCTTAAATGTAAAAGGCTTGAACTCACCAATAAAACAGAATGGATCATAAAGTCCAACTTTTAGTGGTTTATAGGAAACTCACCTGACTTCTAAAGACAAGCACAAGATTAAAGTATAAAACTTGAAGATAATTCTATAAGCAATTTTTTTAAAGATAGAAACAGCTATATTTATATTAAATAAAATAGAACTCCAGTTAAAAGGGTAATAGGAGGAGGAGATTGATACTATATAGTGAATTAAGGTCTAATATAACATGAAGATAAAACACTTATAAATATATAGGCACCAAATGAAGATGTATCAAGATATATAAAGCAATTTCTAATAGAAATAGGTACATCAGCAACAACAGAATAATAGAAGGGTATTTTAACTCTCCAATTACAATTATGGAGAGTTAGTGAACAAGAAAGAACATAAAGAAGGACACAATATTCTCAAATGATGAACTAGATCAGATGGGTCTACAGACATCCCCAGAAAATTGCACCCTGAAACAAGCACAATTTACATTTTTCTCAAGTGTACATGAAACATTCTCAAGTACAAACCATATGTTGGAACACAAACCAACTATCAATAAACATATTGAAGATTGAAATCACACCAAGCATTTTTCTGATAATAATGCTATAAAACTAGAAATGAACTAGAAAAAAACTCAAACACATGGAGATTAAACAACAAACTGCTGAAATATCACTGACTCAAAGAGGAAATTAAAGCAGAAATTTAAAAATACTTGGAAGCTGGTGCATCCTGCATTCTGTTGAACCTACAGCTCACTCCTGCTGCCACCATAGAGCACCTCCCTGGCATCTGGGTCCTAGTTATGTCCTTGCCACCTCTGACCAGATGGCCACTAGGATGATCAGCCAGATGAAGGTATTTAAGATGAGTGAAAAAACCTTGGTGCTATGTATTGGAGTGGCTGGAGACAGTGTACCGTTTGCAGACTATATTCAGAAATTTGTGCAACTTTATAAGATGCAAAATGGTTATGAATTGTTTCCCAAAGCAGCAGCTAATTTCACACACTAGAATTTGGCTGTCTTTGGAGTCTGACCCCCTCCTGGTTAGCTGTGTGAGCAAGAGAGTCCAGCATTTTGCTACATAGACTATGTAGAAGCCTTGGTCAAGGTTTTGCTTTATTTATTTATGTATTTTTTGCAGCTCATGGCAATGGTGCCTTCCTAACTTTCAGTATCCTGCAGCAATATCCACACCAACACTCTCAGTGAAGGGCAGTGAACCTTCTTAGGAAACACATAGAGGAGCTCCAGAAATGCTTCCTCCTGAGTCTGCCAACCTTTGGTGTTCAGGTCATTGACAAAAATGGCATCCATGACCAGGACAACATTTTCTTCCCTAAAGAGGGCTCCTGACATCATACCCTCCCTTCCACTTTCCAGGGAACCTTTTTTTATGGGCTTCTTTGTTTTTTCTACTCTTTTGATGTGAATACTTGATAGATTTTTAAAAAAGATTTATTTATTTATGCATACAAGAACTGGGTACAGGCTAGAGGTGTGGGGAGTGAGAGGATTCACCAGACTCAGAGTGAGAGCAGAACAGGCAGATGTACTGAAACACACTCCTGAGGGGAGCAGCAGGTGAGTCAGGAGAGGTCTGCTGTGCCATGTGGGTCACTCCCTGGCCGGGGATCAAACCTGCACTGCAGTGGCTCTGGTAGCTTCATAGTGCAGTGCTTTAACCCATGTGCCACCAGAGAGAGCCCAAATTAGACATTCTACAACAATCATAAAAGAAGAATTAAAGGAATACTGTTGGAAAAGTAAAACTATTATTGTTTTCATATGATATGATACCATACTTAGAAAATCCTAAAGATTCTCCCAAAAAACAATACATGAGTACAGTAAAGTAGCATTGTACAGAATTAACACACAAACATTTGTTACATCTCATATGCATGCCAATAATGAGCAAGAGGAAACAGTGCCATTTGCAATGGCATCAAAAATAATTAGAGAATAAAAGAATAAATCTAGCAAGCAGATGAAGGATTTATACAATGACAACTATATACAAGACACTATTAAAACATATAGAAACAGACATAAAAAGGTGGTAAGATAGTCCATGTTCAGAGATGGAGAGAATCAATATAGTAAAAATGATGACTTTTGCTGGAAGTGATATATAGAGTTAATGCATTCTATTAAAATTACAATTTATTCTTCAAGAAGTTAGAACCAAATCAACCTCTGGCCTGCACTGCACCCCAGCTCTTGTATGCATAAATAAATAAAATAAATATTTTTTAAAATATTCAGCATCACTTCTATTAAGGGGTTTGCAAATCAAAACCAGAATGAGACATCAAAACCAGAATGAAATTCCTAAGTGTTGGCGAATATGTAGAAAAAGAGGAACATTTAAACACTGTTGGTAGGGATGTGAACTGGTGCAACCATTTTGGAAAATGGTGTGGATGCTTATTTAAAAATAAAAATAGAAATACCATACAATCCAGCAATCCCATTTCTGGGCATCTATTCAAAGAATACAAAACCATCAATTAAAAAAATTATACACTCCACAAGTTTATTGTAAGCTATTTACAATAGCTAAGATATGGAAGCAATCTAAGTGCCTGCTGACAAAGGATGGGATAAAGAGGAGGTGAGAAGTGGCACAGGTACAAAAAGGAATGTTACGCAGCTATAAGGAATGACGAAATGCTGCCATTTGCAGCAAAATGAAAGAAACTTGAGAGGATTGATGTGAAGTTAGCAAGAAAGACAAAAATATTGGGTGAGTTCACATACATGGAGATATGAAGACAAAGCACCCACGTCAGCCCCCCTGTTAGAGTCACATCTTGGTATGGCAGGGCCCTTTAAGACCAACTAGAGGTAATATGAACAATCATGACTCACAGCCTCAGGCAGAAGGAAAAGCACAAACTTCAGTCAGAAGGTCCTAGGTTTGAAAATGACCCAATTGATAAATCTACATGAAGGCGTAAAAGAGCAAATGAATGGTGGATGCTTGGGTTTTTCATCCCCATTCCAGCTCAGCCTTCTCATGCCAAAAGCCAGAGCCCCAGAGAAATCTCAGTCTGGTCTGACCTCCAGCATGTCCCCAGCCTGGAGAAGGAGACAGCGTCTGGCACAGACACTTCCCATTCCCATTATTGCCCAGAGCACTAAGAGAAGAAATTACAGGCAGCTAGGACACAAGGGAGGGAGCCGAGGGGAGGAAACAGGGCAGAGGAAGGATGCCAAGCCAAAAACAGAGAGGAAGAGGATGTTAGAACATTAGCTTGCATGTGTCCAGGGACAGTTTCACACTGACCAGGGAGGAAGTTGAGCTGAAACCCAGATAATGTAAGGCAGCCGAAGCTGACCCTGCTGCCAGGCCTTGCCATCTTTGTCTTCATTTGCTTTTCAGACCTCCAGAGAAGGGAGTTTATTCCTGAGGGAGACAGCCCAACAATTCCTGGGGCTGGGCAACTGTCAAAAAGTTTCACACAACCTAATTTTTCAAATAATGGCTCTCTTAGGTAAAAGGGCTGAATGAGATTGTTTGGGAAGGGAAGAGTGCCCATATCCACCAGGCGGTCAGAGCCTGCCATAGGATGGACCTCAAATCAGACCCTCACATGATCCAATTTCTGTTATACTACTTACATGCCTGATGACTTCATCCCTGCCAGTTTCAGTTTCTTCTCCTTTGATATGAAATGATCACAGTAATAGCACCTACCTATAGGTTTGGGCATGTATTCACTGAACTAATGTAAAAGGGCTGAATGAGATTGTTTGGGAAGGGAAGAGTGCCCATATCCACCAGGCGGTCAGAGCCTGCCATAGGATGGACCTCAAATCAGACCCTCACATGATCCAATTTCTGTTATACTACTTACATGCCTGATGACTTCATCCCTGCCAGTTTCAGTTTCTTCTCCTTTGATACGAAATGATCACAGTAATAGCACCTACCTATAGGTTTGGGCATGTATTCACTGAACTAATGGAACAGAATACGAGGCACATAGTTCATGCAGGAGTATGTTGCCCTGCTTCAGGATCAGAGAGATCCACAATGTGTGACAAACACAAGTGTACATTTTTTTTAAAGGTTCATTTATTTATATATACAAGAACCAGGGCTCAGGCCAGAGGTGCGGGGGGGTGGTGAGAGGACTCACCAGAGACAGAGTGGGGAGCAGGACAGGCAGGTGTACTGAAACACACTGCTGAGGGGAGCAGGGGCGAGACAGGAGAGGTCTGCTGCGCCACGTGAGCCACCTTTTGGATAGGGATGGCTTCATAATGCTGTGTTTTTGTACCTCTAAACTTTTACCTTATATGCTCTTGGCCAGCTACCCACATTTAGCAAGCTCCTACAGAATCTTCAAAACCTTAGCTGTTCAAGCCTTGACCTAGGCAGCTGGGATCATCTGGGACTAGTTCTGATTTGGCCCAGGTCAGATGTGAAGTGAGTTCCCTGAGGTCAAACATTCTGATTAGTACGTGTGGTAGGCAAGAAGTCAAACTTGCTGGATGAACGAATGAATGAATGATGGATGGATGGACGGACAGGTGGATGAATGAATGATGGATGGGTGGGTGGATGGATGGAATGACAGGTCACGTGGAGGTGGGCCTCGGGTGGAAACCCAGGGGTCCACCACCCTCTCGGTCACCTGCATCCCCAATTCGCAGCCCTCAAAAGGCGCAGCCCGGGCAGATAGGGGCGGGGGCAGAGTTCCGGGCGGGGTCTGCAGCTCTTCCGGTTCGGCCCTGGAGGGGCGTGGACGGGGGGCGGCGCTAGCGGCGTCAGGGCGGTGCGAAGATGGCGGCGGCAGCGGCGGTGGCTGTGGCTGCGGCGGCCAGCCCCAGCGCGACCCAGGCTCCCAGCTCGCTGCTGCTCGTGGTGGGCGGAGAGTGCGGGTGCCCGGGGCTGCTGGCCTACGTGCTGGAGGAGCTCGAGCG